TGGATTAGTAGATTAATGGATTACTTGATGAGTTAATGCCCTCATTGTCCAGTCACTTCTCAATAGTACCACTTGCTCTGGTCAAGCCTTAAAACACTTGAGTTGAGCACTGGCATTGCTGCATTTTGTATCCAACCTTATCCAAACTCTGGGAACTCAGTTTGTATATCCCATAGAGAAAAGTAATACTTAACTCAGAAGTTGACTATGAGAATGAAATGGTTTAATATGTGTAACTATAAAGCCTAAACAGCAACTGTTCTCTACACTTATAATGACTGTTGCTGCATTGTTTTTCCGTGATTATTTCGGATTGACACATATCTATCTGCCTAGTCTGTCATTAATGATGTGGGTAAATATGTGTATGTGAATTTTAAAAAATGTAGTATGTATTACTAGTGGATACCTGGACAGGTCTTTATTGTGTTGCATAAAACTGATGTAAATTAAGAAAGGCACCAAAGAAAAATAAACTTAGAAGGCTTTAAAGAAAAAAGTAAGAGTTCCTAATATGGGTAATGTTTAAAAAAGAAATAAGTACTGTGTATCAAGTCAAATGAATGGAGTATATTGACAATTTCCGTTTGAGAATTCCATGACAGGAAAGGGTGAAAACTTATGAATTTTTCCTACCACAAGCCATTTGTGGTGCCTCTATCACTGAAGTATAAGTAATGGGGGAGCTGTTTGACAGAGTGATGGAGCCATGTCTGAGGTCACTGAGAGATACCAGTACAAATGAGTATTTATAATTAAATTGGAAAAGTTAGGATTGCCTTAAAACTATCTTTGTCAAATATTTAATGTCAATAATGTTTTGTTTTAATCTTGAAAAGAATAAGGTTAACTTGTTAGTTAAGAAATCTAAGTTAAATAAGATTTGCACACAGTTCATATGTAGATACAGAAGCAAATTAACACTTCCTTGAGAATGTACAATTTAGAGGTTGGAGGCATGGCCCAGTTGGTCCAGCACTAATGAATGAATAAAAGCAGCAGGTGTCCAGTTTGAGTTCCAGTCTCAGATCTAACAAAAAAGAAAAAAGAGAATGTACAATTTTAAGTCCCCTCATCTGTTTGAGGATTCTACTAAAAAAAAAGTCATAGTCAATGACCTCAAAGATCTTCTCAAGTGTAGCCATCATTATATTTGAAGACACATAAAGGATCCATCTTTGGAAATGCAATAATTACTTAAGAAAGAAAACATTAAGGAAATTATTAACATGCTCCTTAGTTTTCCTCATAAGATGGCTTTGAGCATTATATTTTATTAGCTCCAAATTCACCCATTTGTTTTTCTTTTCCAAGTTGCTATGGTCCTTGTTTAAAAACCAAGAATGAGAGGTTGGTCAATTACATTTAAATCCACTTAGCTATAGTTCACCAGTAATGTAATCAGAGACTGCTGATGATGCATAAAGAGATGGCTTAGTGGGATTTCTATCCTTGGCATAGTTGTAAGAACTATTTTAAAAGATAGCTTTCTTACTCTTGATAATATTGACCCTAAATGTTTGAATAGTCCTCAAATATTTCTAGTATTTTACTCTTGAAAATTGTAATTCTCTGACAAATACTAGGAGTTAGCAGGTCACAGCTACAATCCTAGCTACTCAGGAGACTGAGATCTAAGGATCGTTGGTTGAGCCAGCCAGGGCAGAAAAATCCAAGAGACTCTTACCCCCATTAGCCAGTGAAAAGGTTAGCTGAACCATATAGCACAATTGTGTTAAGAGTAGATGAGCATAAGGCTCTGAGGTCAAACTGCAGTACTGGAAAAAGGGAAGGAAGGAAGGAAGGAAAGAAGAAAGGAAGGAAGGAAGGAAGGAAGGAAGGAAGGACAAAAAAAGGGAAGAGAGAAAGAAAAAGAGGAAGGAAGAAAGAAAGGAAAGAAACTCTTTAAACTAATTTCCCCCCATGGGGTATGACCTATTATTGCCCTGGCATTGGTAATGGTGGTGGTGGTGATGATGAAGACTAATTTCTTTATTGTTCCTTGTGCATTCTAGTGTCACATTTTAATTCTTTCAAAATTTATCATGTCTCAATTATTTTGAAGAGTTAAGAAATATGCATTATGTTCCTCCTCAAAAAAATGATTCATCCAACGTTACAGGGTTTCGTCTTTTATAAAACACCTTGAAGTAAAAATATGAAATGAGTTGGGAAAGACCCAAGCCTTTCATCCAGTAGGACATGGTTGTGGTCTCTAATCATACTAATGATTAGAGTCTTGGAACTTACCTCCTTGGCTGGAAGGTAGTGTGAATGATCACTGATTTAACTTACAATTTAGAATAAAGCTTGAGTGAAAACTAAAACCTAGAGACTAAGGGAGCTTTGGAGTCCTTGTGCACCTGGTTGTGTTGAGAGACTGATATGCCCAGAGACTGCATAGAAGTTTGGTGGCACTTCCTTTCTCCAACTTTATACTATGTATTTCTTCCACTTAATTCTTCCTGAGTTGTATCCTTTATAAACAGTGACTATCAGGATAGTACTTTCTCGAGTTCTGTGAGGTCATCCTAGTGAATGAGGAAACTTAAGGGAGAGAACTTGAGGGAAACCTCAACTTCATTAGGAAGTGTGGATGTCCTCCTATTCTTGGAACTGGCATCTGAAATTAGGGCATTCTCCTGGACTGAGCTCTTATCTATAGAATGACACAACTGATTCTCACACAACTGATTCTAATTTGTATTAGAAGTGAATTTTAGGAAACACAATTGATGGTTGGAGAATTAAAGAATTGGATGGTGTTGAGACAAAGAATTTGTTGTCAGGGAAAAAATGATCTCCATCCCTTTTCCTTGTGTCTTTTTTCATACAGAAGTGCCTCAGAGTTCTATGTGTCACTTTCCCTTATTTATATATCATTATTGGTATGGAGGAGTAGAGGTTGTGGGAAACAAACTTATTTTTGTAATTAACAATTTCTTTATAGAAAAATAAAGTCTGCAATGAAGCTGAGTTTTCATTATGACTTTTAGCCACTTTGTCGCTTTTTGGGGTTTTGGACCATTTATTTACCCTCTAGCTCAGTTTCCTCACTTGTCAGGTGGACCTGGTAACAATACCTGTTTCAAAATGCTCTTTTGAGGATTAAATAGGCTAATTCATGGGAAAGACCAAAGACTGTACCTGACACACATAAACAGGAAAGTTTAGTTACTATGAATGCTATTACTTTTAGTTTTACTCTTATTACAATCACTGCTGTAATATAGTAGTAGTATACTATTTTTTAAACCTTATCCATAACATAAAGTGTGTTTAAGTCTTTGAAAGCTTTCCAGAGTACATGTTTACTTTATATTAAGAAAAAAGTATGTTTCAGAACTTTTATTTAATCAAGAGTTTCAGAGTTTTTAGGAAGTCTGAAAATGACTGAACCACCTGTAAGAATTATTGAGAAATGAGAAAGGAAATGCTAATGAGACATTACAGGAAAGATCAAATAGACTAGGAGAGCAAGAGGAATCAGGAATCTCTTCTCTAATGCAGAAAGAAAGCTCTGAAGGAAGCAATAATCATTTGGAAATGAGAAGAGTAAGTGAAACACCGAAGTATTAATCAAATAGCATCCTGGGTGTGGATAATTGACCAACAGACATAAAAATGAAAGAAGATGGAATAGGGTATATACATTACCTTTATGAGCACTATAAAACCAGATCTTGGGGACAAGTCTAAGTGAATTGATAAGTGCTACCATGATGCAAACATTTCCTACAACTTATCATCTGTTGGGTGTTTTTCAAAATTCATTTTAAACAACATGGGTTTGATAACCATACATTCTACCACTGAACCCCTACCTTAAATTCACAACCCTTATAAAGGATTCATGAGAAATCATGGTATCAGTGAGAAAACATACATGAGTATTAATTGAGAATGGCTTCACTGCAGTGAGAGTCAAAGCTTATAGTACCATTATTGTTCAGTACTGTCAGATATGGCTTTCCAAATATTATTTTGGTGAACTAGGTTCAAAAAATCCTATATTCTTAAACTACATTTTTCATGCCCCCTTCCTAAATTCCATCATTTTGAACCATGAATGTAAACTATAATTTTGAAAGCCTCAATATCATTTTTGGGGGGCATTTAAGTTGCTTCTAAGGGTAGTTGTTTCTAAGGTTCTGACAGATTGAACCATTGCTCAGGAGTATTTCAAAAGCCTTGGTATAAAAGACTCCCTGTAGTTTTCATTTTTAAACATACTTTTATAAAGTTCATTATGATAGGAAGCAAGTTGATTTTATTAAATTTAAACTCATCAACACATAAAACATATACTCAAAAATTAGTTGAGATACTGTGTTTTCTTTTGGGGAGCCTATTATCTTTGTATCATATAAAATCAACTGCAAAGATTTGAGAGTTGATTCTTAATGCATTAGGGCTTTTTTGGTGGGAAGCCCATATGTACTGTCAGTACTTTAGTGCCCTGAATTATTATTGGTTGTTCATGTGCACTTTTAGAGCAAATTTATTTCAAATGAAATATTGTTCAATGTTAGATAATAAACACAGAGAGCCTTCTCTGATACTTGTTTTTCTTTCCTATTGTAGATTAGCTTGACCCTTTTTCCCTATCCCAACTATCCCAAGTATTCTACCCTCTCAAAAGATAGTTTGAAAATAGTTTAAATTATATTTGAATAAATGTAATTTTAACAAGTTTTAATTACCTTTCCATCTGAATAGATTGGTAACATTTATACAGGTATAGAACTATAAAAACTTATTTCTTAAATATGGTTTGCTTGGAGGGCATTGCTTAAATTTTCTCTTATATTTTAAAGCATCTATTATTGAATTTCCTTTGTAACTTGGCTTAAAGTCAAAAGGTAATGTAATTCAACTTTATATAATGAATTTTTTGCATTCTTATGAAGTTTTTCACAAATGTTTTGTTTCTAGATTGTTTTACCTTTCATATATTATAATTTTGTCCTTTCAAGGCATTTAATACACTTTCTTTCCAGTCTCTGTAGAAACGCTGGAAAAGAATTTGAAGCAGATGGGAAGGCAACTTCAACAGCTTGAGAAAGATTTGGAAACCTTTCCCCCTCCTGAGGACTTGCATGACAAGTTTGTGACAAAGATGTCCATATCCTTCTGATATCTAAATAAGTCACTAGTCAGCTGGAATTTTGATTTATTTAACATGATAACTGTGTTTGCATAACCCAAGATCATTTTCTGGTGCCAAACTATAGAACTTTTAACCTTTGCTTTCTTTTAAAGAGTCAGCAAAGTTGTTGTTGTAAATAACAAACCCTGTGTTTCTTTTTTTCCTTTTTACCTGTTTGGTTAATAGTACTTTTTTTTGGTTCTGTTTCCTTTCATATGCCTTATTTTCTTCTGATGTTCATGGTACAAAATGATATTAAACTTAGTTTGAGGATGTTTGAATTGAAAGCCATGAGAGGTTGAACTCAGGGTCTCACAAGGCTTGCTTGGCAGGTACTCTTATCACTGAGCCCCACCTCTAACCCAACATTTAGATATTTTTGAAATGTTTCAGGAGATTCAGATTGCATAAACTCACAGCTTGGCTAGTCAGCTTCAAGGTTTGATATATATTAGAAACTAATTGACTTGGCAAAAAAATTATATTGTCTTTAGAAATACTATGTAGTTAACAATCAAAATGTAGTTTGTCACAGGTAACTACTTGTCTCTTTTCTCCTAACCAAAACATGAAATTGACAAGTGTATGTCTTCATTTATACATATAAATGTAACTTAAAAACATGAAGCTTGTATACAGTTTTTTTAGTATTCAGTTACCTTCATTATTACTTTTATAGTTTAATCTCTAATGAGTGTCTAAAATAATTATTCCCTTTGTTTTCTGAAACTAATGTTGGGTGCAAACCACTATATGAAATTAGATATTTTTATGTTGCAATAAAGTATTATTAAAAGTCAATATGGACTTCTGAATTCTATCTAAAAAGATAACCCACTTCTAAAATACACTGTTATAGACATCCTCAATGTTTTATTTTACTCATATATTTGAAATAAATGACAACTTTTTTCCTTTTTCTACTTTTTATCCCTTGAGACTTAATAACTCACAAAAGTATTATTTGGTTCATCTTCGATTTTATTGCATATGCTTTCATTTTAATTGTGAATTAGTTCAATTTTAGCTTTCCTTCACTCTCTCTGTTGGGAAATATCATAAAAATGCGCTCTAGCAACAATCAGTTCAGGCTAATGTGTGTGTTTTCTTTTGTATCTCCCTCCTCACTCCCCTGTCCCCACATACATCCAGCTTCTTATTGAGAAGATGCTTTTATCACCACACACTGGGTAAGGCTTTCTTCTTTCTTTTGCTTTTTTAAAGTAAACAAGAGGTCTGTATTTATCCACCAAAAACATATTTTTGTACTGACTCCTCATTTGAGCAAGTGTGCTTTTTTAAGAGTGAATACAGTATTTCAGAATTCTATCATTCTCATCATCTCTCAATCTTTTGATCAAGTTAGAATGTTCTCACACGTGACATTTTAATGTTTTAAATATTGGTTGTAGTGTTTTAGTCCTATAGATAGAAGGCATTTTAGAAAAGATTTTACTTACATATAGCTTTTAGTATTACCCTGTGAATGCACTAATGATGAAGCTCAGGTTTCTTGACTGTGGCTGAATTCATGAACCCAGAGGAAAGGCTATAGGTGCTCAGCAGAGGGTCTCAGGACATATCCACATTTGTATTCCTATGACAGGAGAAGCTGAATGATGTTGGCTACTTGAAAGGTATGCAGCTCATAAAAAGCAGCCAGCAGGAAATCAGAAACAGGAATGATGATGCTTTGTTGGACACAGTTTTTCATTCTGAGTACAATTATACTCTATGGACAAGAAAGCTACTGTATCCTGTCGCTAAATATCACAACCTCGCAGCCTCTAATGAACTGATTAGCATTCATGTATCTCTTGGAAGTCAGTTATATGAACAGTTGGTGCACTTTGCTATTGACAAAGCTTATAATCATAAATATTCTTTGCCGAGATTAGATTGTTCTCATTTGCTTTTCATCTTCGTTAGATATACTAGTTTTGAAGTAATTAAATATATTCATTTCAAGACTTTGTTTACTTTAATTAAGACTGACAACCAGTCAGATTTTTGAATATTAACTGCATTTATACTGATCTTATTAAGATGACAAGTTGTAAGCTTCTTGGGTCTTGGAAACGTATGGAAGCCAAAATGCACAATAAATCAAAATGTACTAACTGAAGTTTGTTAATACTCGAACTTTGTGCTTTATGTTTAAATGCTTATTAATTGAAGCATAAATCAACTGTTTGGCTCAGTGGACCAATTCTGAAAGAATCTGTATTTAACTTGTTAAAAGATGATTCTTTGTAAGTATAAATTTACTCTAAATGATCATGATTTAGTGATTTATTGTTTATTGGATTATTTTAAATTAGAGTCAACTGTTAAAATATGAAATTTCACTTGCATATTATATTGTGTTTTAATTTGTCAGTGCATATTCACTTGACATCTACTTTATAACATCTAAGATAGTAATTTCATACTTCCTTTAAAAGGCATAAACAATTTTTTCATATATCATTGGCTTTTTTATATTATTTTTTAGTTGCTAACCCTAGTCAGAACTGTAATTATTCAATTGCTTCAGTAAACAATTGCTTGAAAAATGTGAAACAAATTTCAAGTGCAGTCATCAGTACTGTTATATACAAGCTATTTTATGTGAGGTGTGCATACTTATTAAATTCTTATCAGTGAGAAACTCAAAATACCAAGATTTATGTCACACAGTGCTTGTTGCATTCTTTGACCTTTAAATTCTGTAATATTTCTTATTTTAAGAACAATACAAATAGATTTCAGACCATGCCCTTGAAATTCTCCTTGCACAGCCACTTACCTTTCTATTTTCTTTGCCTTTGCTGAGCCTCTTAGGAAAAACAAACACAAAAACATGCAAGACATGTATATAATTTTATATTTACTATAACTTACAAAGGGAGTTACATGACTCTTGTGTTATATATATTTTTAATTTCTTCATTGAAATCCCATTCTCTTTTTTATTGTTTCATAATGTAGCAATGTTTTAAGCTTGTCTGCAATTACTGGGAAAACGATAAAACCACTCCAGTAAATTCATTGAAAATACTTTTTTGTGTCCTTTATAGTAGAATATCTGTGCACGAAGTTGAGGATTTTGCAGGTAAAGGAACTTGTTAAACATTTTTCCTTAATTCAACTATGTCTAGGAAGTAAAAATGGAAGAATAGAATGTATAAAATGTAAGCCTGTGTAACATATGGCTGAGTTACAAAAGTGGGCAGTTAGGTAATTGATTTGTTGTAGGAAATATTTCTTTTCTTGAATTAGTCTTCTGCCTCTTTCATCCCTTTCTTTTTCTTTCTTCCTTCTCTTCCACTTAATGAATTCTTTATAAACTTTTAAAATCTAGGTTAAATATCCTGCATCTCATCCTTCATGAATTCTCAGATTTTCAATGATCATTTCGTTGTCTTGAGTTCATTACTCTTACGAGACAATGTATACAACTTAATTCTCTGTGCTTTATACATCATGCCCCAGTAGTTTTAATCAACCTTGCCTTTTTAGTCAGGATTTTTCTTATTTTATCTGCCCCCATTTTATCTAGCTCTCTTATTTTACCTGTCTGGCTTCTGACACTTTGGATAACCTCAAAATTTTTTATTTTCTTCATATTTGTCATTATTAGAATTGCCATTCACTTACTTTATATCTTCACATAATAGAAGTTATATTTCAGGACCACAGAGATTGTTCCTATCTTGTTAGTTACTGCTCTTATGTCAGGTGCCTACAAAAGTGTTTGGAATACAGCAAATTCAGTGAATACTTACTAAATATTTTCTTGTTCTCTGATTTTTAAGACATCAAAGTTATTAGGCATGTAGCACTAACTGAAATTGGCCTTGTAAGTTGTGTCAGTGAAGGAAATAATGGGCATTCATGCTGATAGTTGAACATGGGGGAAATTACCTAACAGTGAATGTGGAATCTAGTTGTTGGACATAGTTTGGATATAAGCAGGAATATGACAAACCAGGATAAGAGTACCATAATGACTTGTTTAGATACCATATAAGACACGCTTTCGGTTGCTAAATATTTGTGGTTTAATTCATGGGAACACAGATCTGATGATTGTCATGTATCTTTCAAATAGGAAGATTGCAGTAGGTCAGGTAGAAATTAATGAGAATTTGTCCTTAGTTTTGATAAAGGTAAAGAAAAAGGAAATCGATTTTTTTCAAAGCATCACAAAATTGGAACATGTATTCATATTTTTGCAATGAATTTTAACAAATGTTTATTTTCTTAAGTGTTTTACATTTTTTGAAGATCTTTGTGAATATAAAACTTGGTACTGAGAAAAAATAATTAAAGTCTAACTACTGTTGACAGAGACATTACTTTTATTTAGAGTTTAACAGTTGGCATAAGAGCATCTACATTTCATTTTTATTTTGGGTGATGATAGTGATTTTTTTAATCTGAATGTTTCACCATCTCTTAATGAGAGAGTAGCCCATCAAAACTGATGTGGTGTGCCTTATTCATGTACTCAGCTATTCTAGCCGATTAGACAGTCATTTTAATGTTCTGAGGATTAATTAGGCTATTTCCAAAATTGTTTCAGTTTAATCACAATTTTACCATTCTTATGGGTAGTTCCAGTTATTCAGAACTCCATTTCATTTCCTTTGGGAGAAAACTCTTTTTATACATAATAATGATAAGAAAATTAACTTAAAAGCTCCTTAGCTGTTAGAACAAAATCATGCCATTTTTGTGATTCTGACTTTTGCTCATCTTTTCTAGCATATCTTTTAAGACAGATATACTATTTTTCTCAGTATGTACAGATATACTTCTTTTTCTTCTCTCCCTCTTCTTTTTCCTCTCTCCCTCTCCCTGTCCCTCTCCCTGTCCCTCTCCTTCTCCTTCTCCCTCTCCCTCTCACTCCAACTCCCCTCCCTTCTCCCTTCCCTCCTCTACTATCCTGTCCTCTCCTCTCTTTTGCAGTCTTAGGGCTTGAATTCAGGGCCTGGGCACTGTCCCTAGCTTCTTTTGCTCAAGGTGAGCACAATACCACTTGAGCAACAGTGTATGTGTGTACTCTGTGGTACTGAGGAATCAGCATGAACCCAGGGCTTCATGCATGCTAGACAAGCACTCTACCACAAGCCACATTCCTAGCCCTCCAGATATGCGTCTATGTTTCATTACTTACCTGATGTTTCAGTTCTTACCTGAGAATCTAAAAAGTATCATTGCATTACTCTACGCTGTCTAGCAAATGAATTCTTGACAATGGGCCTATACCCAGGTATCTGGATAAGATTATTAGCGAAGTGCCTTGTTCATATTCAGTGCCTTACATACAATGATGATGTATGTAAGCTATCAAACTATCCGATTAGAGACACTAGCCAACATAATGTCCTCAACCTATTGTCAGGGTTAGCTGCTTTTTCAGGACTCTGTTAGCTCTTCACAGTTTATCAAAATTTGTACAATTACATAGAAAGGTATGATTTTACAAGTACAGATTCTGTGTCTTTTTATTAAATGACTTCAAGGATACTTGTTACCCTTCCCGCCAAAGTTTAAGAGTATTAGTACTGGGGTGAAATAAGTACTTGGCACCAATGTCACTAGACTTGATATAGCTAAGATTGTGGAACTTAACATCTAGAAAATGAACAGGAAGGAAAGAGGACCACATTTCCTAGAAATATGATAAGAACACAGCCCCATAAAATAATTAGACTGGAAAGGACAGCTTACAACTTGATTTCAGATCCCATGGTAAGAAGGTGTCTGAATTTCCATACTTGAAGTGGAACAAAAAGTTGCTAATAGGTATGCAGATGAGAGGAGATCACAAAAGAGGAAGGATTGAAAAGGTCTTTGATTGATAAATCTGAACAAGAAAAATGAGTTTCTCTTTTTGGTAGGAAATGTAAGAAAATATAATAATCCCTGTAGGACATAATCTACTGAAGGCATAAATAAATTTAGGTGAGGTTTTACTGATTGACCAAGGTAAATTAACTTACAGTCTATTGACATCTGAATGATTATATCACAATGTAAGTGATTACGTATTTCACTTAATGATAATTTTGCCTACTTTTCAAGTGTACGTATATAAAATAACTATTCCTCCAGCTACGATAAGATGATTACATATATGGTATAAATTTGTTATACATAATATAAAATGCATGCAGCCAAGGTGCCGGTGGCTCGCGCCTATAATCCTAGCTACTCAGGAGGCTGAGATCTGAGGATCACAGTTCAAAGCCAACCCAGGCAGGAAAGTCCGTGAGACTCTTATCTCCAATAAACCACTAGAAAACTGGAAGTGGTGCTGTGGCTCAAGTGGTAGAACGCTCGCCTTGAGCTGAAAGCACAGGGACAGCACCCAGGCCCAGAGTTCAAGCCCCACCAGGCCCAGAGTTCAAGCCCCACGACCGACCAAAAAAAAAAAAAAATATATATATATATATATATATATATATATAATGCATGAAATATATGTTATATAAGTATTTTATATGTTATATATTATATAATATATGTAAATACACCAGACACTGGCATTATTAAGCGCCTGGAAACTGTAGGGGAAAAGCTGGCTGTTCAGAATATGAACTGAATCACATACAGGTTTATGCATTTTGTAGGTCATTGAAAAGATCAACTCTCACTTTAGAATCTAGATTCCCTGCATTCTGGTCCCCTTCTCTCCTGTACATGGTACATATAATACTAAGTACAACACACACAAGAAACAGAAATAGAAGAGAAACTGATTAGAAGTATAAATAAGTGAGCTGTGACTGACTGAGATATAATCGTATTATTAAGCTGTGTTATTAGGCTGTTATCCCATGTTCTGGCTTCACTTCCTATTTGGCTGCACTGCTTTCTTTTCCATATTTCTTTCATTCTCTCTCAGAAGAAAGGGCCTGCCTCAGTTTTATTTAGAAACAGTTATAAATTGAAGAACCACATTATTTTTGAAATTGTGGAAAATGTTCTTTTTAGATACGTTTAGTCCAATTTTTTATTCATTCTTAGTCCGAATCCAGTTTGTTTGTTTCCAGTTTTGCTAATGCTTATTATACATTTTTTATTAGTCAAAGATAAGACAACTTTGGTAAGTTAGGCTATGTTTCTTTCGTTAAATGTCTCAGTTTAATGGACCCATAAGAAATTGTGACTGATGCTTTTTTGTTGTTGTTGGCGATGGGGCTTCAACTCTGGGCTTGGGCGCTGTCCCTGGGTTCTTCAGCTCAAGGAGAGTGCACTACTGCTTGAGCCACAGCGCCACTTCCAGTTTTCTAGAGGTTTATTGGAGATAAGAGTATCACACACTTTCCTGCCTGGGCTGGCTTTGAACCTTTATCCTCAGATCTCAGCCTCCTGAGAAGCTAGGATTACAGGTATGAGCCAGCGGTGCCGGGCATGACTGATGCTTTGAGAAACATCTTTTCAAAATAATGCATGATTTTTATATTTTACTGCAACAATTTTCAAATAGTTTGTTTCAAAATATGTTAGAGATTCAGTTTTATTATTATATTGTCAGAAATAAGTGAAAAAACAATTCTATATGACATACCTAGAAGTTATATGTTCATTTTTCAAAAGGGAAGCAAAAACATTAATTTGCTTGCATAATGTAAAAAGTTTGTAATTCATGAAAACTTATAAATACACTATAAGAGGTCAATAGTATTTAAAATGATTTATATATGCTGGTAATGTTTCATCTCTTTTCTAAGAAGGTTGCTAATATGTACTTACTCCTCAAAACAGCTCTATGAGGTAGGCAGTATTATCATTCCCATTTTGTAGATTACAAAGTCAAGGCAAAGGGAGGGAAGACCTTGTCTGTAGGCACACAAAATATAAGAGTTGTGAACTAAACCTTGTTGTACCATTCAGTGCTTTTCTCAGTGATTGTAAATTTCAGTATCATTCCCATTATACAATCTTAACGACTGAACCATAAGTTTAAATTCTTCATGATATAGATTTTAGCATTATGACTAATTGGGGAGTTTTTGAGCTCCATTATATTGGAGAAATATTTTATATATATATATATATATATATATATATATATATATATATTTAGTTTTCTGATTGCTTTTCCAAAGCTAATTAGAACTTGAATTTAAGATTCTTTACCTGCACAGTGGAGACGACATTTTAAATATGGTTAATTCTGAACGAACGGACAGAGATTGGGAAGTGTACTTTAGTGATAACTCAGACTAAAAAATTGTAGTTATGGATTTTTTTTCTTAAAGCATTTTTAAAGTTCTGAGCACCTTAACTATAAAATACAGCTTTGTTATCAGTGCTAAAGTACAGTATGAGAAACTTTCTAAATTACTGGAAAGCATGGAACAGTCGTACCAGAGCATGATGGGATATTATGCTGTTGACGTGAAGAAGGTGGCTGTGGAAGATTTCCTTTCTGACTTGAATACTTTCAGAACTACGTTCATGGTATGTTAAAATGGAGCTACATTTTGTTATGTATTTTATGTATACTTCTCATCTAATATTTTATTTCTTTGTTGTCTGTTGTTGCATCTACCTTTTCTGATATTCAAAGGTAGTTTTAAAAATTTCAGACTTTAAGTCTATTGAAAAATGTGTGGTTTGTTCTCTTTTTGGCCTTTCCAACATTAAGCTGTAATCAGAAATTTTGATTGAAAAAGTGATGAATTCTTAAGTTTTTTCATAAAGACTCCCTGCTGGCTGATTACAGAACACTTTTGTAGTAAGTTTTTGGCTATGAATTTGCTTCTTTATCCTTAGGATCGATTTGTATTTTTGTGGTATAATTTTACCAAATTCCATGCAGCTTTTATGAAGCTTTTCTCCCCCTCTTCTTTTCTTAATGCATTGTACAATAAGCTACCTGTGATTTTTCTTTGAATAGATTTTACATTCCTAGGGTTTCCTTTAGATACTTTAATAGGGAGGTCAGGTCTTTGATGTAGAATCCTTTCATTTAGACATTAAAAAGATCTTTTGAAAAATATTAGCTGATTAGATTGGGGACACACACACACACACACACACACACACACACACACACACACACACACACACACACACACACACACACACACACACACACACACACACAATAAAGAAGGCATTGTTGTCTCCCTAGGGAAACTGGTGATACATTTCTACAAGGGAAGGAAAAATTGTTATTCTTAAATAACACATTTAAGCACATGTGTGTGTGACAATTAAAAAGTTTTGAGGTACAAAGTAAGATTGACTTTAAAAGGCTGGTTCTTTTTAATCTATGGGAAATTTTGCTGCTAACTTTATTGGACTAGGTTATGTTTATTAATGATATAGCCAGGTGCTTTAACACTCTCTTTTAATATTTTGGTTGGCTGTGGGGCTTGAACTTGAGCACTGAGCACTGCCCCAGTGCTCTTTTGCTCAAGGCTAGTGCTCTGCTACTTTGAGCTACAGTGCCAGTTTTCTGGTAGCTAATTGGAGGTAAGAGTCACATGGCCTTTCTCAGCTTCTTGAGTATCTAGGATTACAAGTATAAGCCACTGACACCCAGGGGAGAAAAAACAACTTTTTAAAAGAAGAAATAGTAGTTTACATTAAAAATAAATGTGTTTACTTTCAGCTCTAGTTTATTTTCTTCACAAATTCCAAATAATTCTCAATTTTTTTACTACTGGATATGAATTTGACAATTCTACTGATGATATCCTATATGTATCATGTTCTGTACGATGTATTCCTTAAATTGTGAAATGTGTTATGAGACAGTATGGCTTGATGAAGTTACCAAAACCTTCACAGTCCAAGAGAGCTACATTTGGATGCCACAGTAGTTGTATGTCTGTTAATACTCTTTCTACTTTCCTGAGCCTTAGTTTCCAAAATTGTAAAACAGAATATTATTCTTTTTTCTTTTGTAAGAGTGTACACATATTAAATTAGAAAACATATTAAAATTTCTATCATACTTTATGGCATATCACAGTTGCTCAGTAAATTCTTTTACAATGAAGGATTGAGTCAATATGTGTAGGGATCTCCAAACCTTTGTATTCCACAGAAAGGACTGACCCTGACTGGCCTCTTAGTGCTTGCCTCAGAGCCCTGATAAAAGAGTATTTTATGTACGTGTTGGACCTTTGATCAACCTACAAAGGTTATGCTAACAATATGATTTACAGTCAATATTTAGTGCTCTGGGCCACTCTATATCTATGTCAATCTGGCTTATTGGGTGGCTAGGTAACAGATTCCTCTAAAAGATGTTCTATTAAAAAACAACAAACCAACAAACAAATGGAAAAAACCTTGGGCAGCATTAGGAGCTTGAGTCCATTCTGGGCTATATTGTGTCAGCAAGTAGCAAAACACATTGACACCAAATTTTTAGTGTTAGTATGAAGCTATTAGGAATATAGCAACAGATACAGAATGTTTATGTATTAAAAGTCTGTATTTGAAAATATTGTTAATATGATAGGTAAATGTGTATAATTACAAGTGTGTGTTTTGGCTCATATCTATAGTCCTAATATCCTGAAGGCACAACATCACAAGTTTAAGGCTAGCCTGGAATACAGAATAAGACCTTTTCTTTTCTCAATTTTTTTTGCGTATGTTTTCAAATCCTGTTAAAATGTTGACTGTGTTACTTCATTCCATTGGCATTTAGGAATTCTGGCTATGAAGAAGCTAAGTTTTATTTATAATAGAGGAAATAGAGATAGAGCCATGTCCTCACCGTGTGTGTGTGTGTGTGTGTGTGTGTGTGTATACATACACACACACACACACACACACACACACACACACTCTCTCTCTCTCTCTCATGATGGCAGTTTCCTGTGGAATATTTTCTCTGAACTACTGGCCATCTTACATACTGTTTCCTATGCCTAGAACACTTCCTCTTCACTTGCCTGGCAAAACCATCATATTCACCCTTCTAATGTCTGCTCAATCTTTGTATCTTCTCATAAAATCTGTGTCTATCCTATACACTTTTCTGTATCTATTACATTTCATGACATATATAATGAATAAGTTCATGATTGCTGATGATCAATAGGTGATATACTTTAGTAGATAATACATATAGCAACATTATCATATGTGTGCTGCTATATTCACTTCATTTAATCCTTATCACAACCCAATATGGTATGTATACTTCCATGCTCTTTTTTATAGATAGGAAGACTGATGTGTAGAAAGATCCTGACTTGCCCATCATAACACAACATTAAAGGAATCAATCTAGTCTGATTGGTTCCAGAGACTGTACTAAATAGATAGTTTGGTTGATAGATAGATAGATAGATAGATAGATAGATAGATAGATAGATAGATAGATAGATAGTTACACATTTAATGGAAGATGTATCTGTATGTATCTATAAAGACATCGTTATACAATTAATGCAAGGTCTATCTATCTATCTATCTATCTATCTGTCTGTCTGTCTGTCTGTCTATCTGTCTGTCTGTCTACATCTTAATTCCCATTAAATGTGTAACTGACACATGGAGCTAACTTGAAACTTAACTCCTGCCCCCAAATAAAATCGTAGCCATTTTTATTTGTAACAGTAATTTAATATATATTCATACTTTATCTTACAGTCCCCAAATTCATGCTTATTGGGATTCTAATTTCATTTATCTATATTTTTATCTGCCTCTTCAACAGGACAAAATCCAAAACAAATGCTACTGGTTGAGTACTTGCTACTTGCTAGACCTTGGGCTATGTGCTTTACATGTAATGTCCCATTTTATGACATATTGTAAGGTGAAACATGTAACAGGTGAGGTACCTCCAAGGTAGCAAAGCCCCAGGCCTTTGTAGAACCAATTCCGAATTCATAGGGACAAAGATTGAACTGATCTCTGACTACAAAGACTGTACTTTTAACTGCTTTAGAAATATTACAGGTTATAGATTGCAGGAAAATTTGGGCTCATAATTTTTAAGATTTTGATAATTTACCTGTATGCAAAGTATGCACAGGCATACTTTGCTTTCTTATTCATGAGTTTGTAATAGAAGAATATTTTGAAGGTTGGTTCAGTTTCAAAATATGAAATATTCTCTTTTAATGGTAATATGCTGTTAATATGAAGCTTTGTTACAGAGCTAGGAAGATGTAAAGACCAGAGAGACAGCACCTTTTTGTAATAGGTTTTTATGTTCTCTAGGACTTACTAGGAGGAAATAAATAACCTCCCATTACGGGCAGTATAAATATGTGGCCTTTCAGGCATTCAGCTTTATACCAAGTAATGTTCATGCCTATAGTCTCCTAGTATTTTGGAATTTTATAATCATTTAGTATTTTTACTGCTTTTGACCTTAGTCACTGACTATTGCTATTGACACTCTACCCATTTTAGTAGATTATGGCATGCTTTTGCAGGATGAGTTGAGCTTGGTATGGAAATTTTTGATGAATCGGCTAAGCCTCCTCCTATCCTTTGTCTCATTTAACAGCTGTAGGTCAGCAAAATACAATCCTTGCTTTAAAACTGATCACTATGGCACAAATTGGGTGACTGTTGTATTGTTTCATTGTTTCTTATTTGTATAAGCATAGACATAAGTGCCAAACTATGAACACGCTCATCTGGTTTATGATACTCAAGAAATAAAATTATTTCATTTCTTATCTGCTTGGTTTCTTCATGTGGCAGGCCTCACTTGTCTTTTATTTATTTTCAGTAATGATAGTTTGTTGTTTGTCTCACTAGTAGGCAGGCACAGTGGCTAAGATTAAACCCTGACATCAGGAAATACTACGTTGAGTCTTCTCTGTACAGATTATTAGTGACATGACTTTGGCAAGTCACTGAACCTTAATGAGTCGCAGTTTCTTAAGTAACAGCAGCATGTGTTTCTTAGGGACTTTTGTTTTTCTGACCAAATGACTTAATGTCTATGTCCACTCACAGCAAATTATTTGTACAAACAAATAATATTTTTACCTTTCCTTTTTCTTAACTATGGGAAGTATTTTAAATACTTTCCTTTTCATTATCTTGTTCTATGTAGAATGCTATAACTTACCTATTTCTCATATGTATCTCTGTCTTTGCATTATTTCTACAATTTTATTAAGGTTACATTTCTTCTGCCAAAGAATTGTCTTTCATGCTATTTGCAGATATTTAAGTTGATTTTTTGTTTATATAATTCAGATACAGGTGGTAAACAAATGCAAAATCCATTATAATTCATTTAATCTTTGTGCCTATGTTGATACAGTTCAATTTATTCTACTCAATTCTCAGGCTGAAGTAGTGAATTACATGCCCCAAAATGAAGTCATCCCACTTGAGTATTTTTAGTATGATTTGTTTTTTACAATGAAGATAGAACAAAACTGTTTTACTAAATGATTTGATTTACACAAATCAGATACTTGTCACTTATGAATGTCATGTGTACTAAGTACCTTGTGGACCAA